TGTTTAATAAGCTCAATTCCAGCGTCAGTTGTCGAGCGACCCCTTGTAAAACCGAATTGATTTCTATGTAGTAATTTATTAATATTAAAGAAATTTAACATCTGATCTTAAATTATTTTTTCAAAAATTTTACTAAATGTTGGTAGTACACAAATTGGTCTAAAACTGGCGGGGTCTAATGTACTACCAGATTTAAATAAAGGTATGACTTTACTATGTTTTATTAAATCAGGAAACACACCAGATTCGACGCTTGTATTAAATATAGTGGCTAGATAAGGTGATATTATATCTATTATAGATAAAATAACTTTAACGGGAATCCCCCATAAATCTGCCGTTTTCTTAACATCAATAGTTTTAAAGTATTTAAGGATATCTTTTGGCAGTACTCTATGTAATTCAAAAGTATTTGAAAAAGCCTTTACATTTTGTTTGAGCAATGATTCGGCGACAGTAGGAGAAGAACTTAATGATTTAGTTGTCAAAAAAGAAACATCAGTAAAATGTTTCTCAAAAGCCATAGCAATTTCTTGATCAGATCGGGTTAAATTATTGTTAATATTCAATTGAAAATCCGAGTTGCGCGGTTTGACCTTGCCCGTTTCACTATTTATTATTCTCCAGGTCATTTTAATTTTGTTAGATGCAGTTTTAATTTTGTTACCTAATTCTTTTATTTTTTATAGGATAAGGGTGATAAAGGAGCACACAGTCCACCTGATGGTAAGTGATTGCTGCGGCCCATAGACATCTACATCTATCCTCTGTTACAAATCAAAATGTAGATGCGTTGTCACCCGTGAGGACTAAGATGGAATGCCTCCTTTCCAGTAAAAAGGGCCTCCGGCCACCTGCACTCACCAAGCGAAACGCAGAGGTAAACCTCTACTTCACGCTGGTTTTCTGTGAGGTCGTGGTACTACCCTGGTTCGAGCCGGCCCATCCGTGCGACAGCAAAAGCTGCCGCGTGGCTCTACCACTGTTGAAATGTAAAGCCTTAGCTGTGACGCACACTTTTTTTTAAATATTTTAGTATATATTTTTACATAATCTCTAAATACAACACTACTATTATATGATCTTTCATTATAAAGCTCGTAAGACTTTCGCCTACTCTTATAAATTCCTACTGTCCCTCATTCATTAAATGATTTGCGACTGTTAAAAGAGGAAGTTTTAGAAGTAAATATGCTACTAAATTCACAAGTTATAATTTTAAATAACGTACCATACAAATAATTAACACTGTTTTTAAATGAAAGTGATGGAAGTCTTTTTATTATATGAGGTACTTCTAAACTTCTCCAAGCGATGTTCATTTATTGGAACAAACACAACTTTCTTATTTTTCTGTTTCTTGTGTATGTAAGGCAATGATACCAACTGTTCACAGTGATCTGAACTTAAATTTTGAATAATTGATTTATGCAAGGGCTTAACATCTGTAAAAATGTTATCTATACAGGTCGCACTAGGCCCAGCAATACGTGTTGGTTCTAAGAATAAATAATAATTAACAAGATTATACGATTTAAACAATGAGCTAAACTTAATACTAATTGAAGAAGTTTCAAGGATGATGTTAAAGTCTCCACATATTACAACAGACTTGTTCTGTTTATTAAGTTTGAGCAAAACTTCTTCCACAATCCTTTCAAAATAGTCATAAGTAGCACATGGGGGTCTGTAAACACTTACAACAATGAGGTGGTCGAGCTCGACACAAGCCATTTCTACAGTTCGCTCAACAGAGAGGCTCACTATATCCTTACGTTCTTTATATAATAATGATTTATCTGCTAGTATTAAGGAGCCACCACGCAAACTTTTTTCTCTATTGAAGGAACTGACCACCTGCTGATTTCTGAAATTAAACATGAAATTATAATCTTTAAGCCAATGTTCAGTAATACAAAGGATATGTATGTTGTTACTATTTAAAAACAATTCAACTTCTAATTCTTTGCCCATCATGCCTTGTATATTTTGATGCACCAGGTGTAAACAATTTTTATTACTTAGTTGTGGGCTGCATTCAAAGTTAATTAAACTCTTATAGATAGCTAGATATTGCCTCTATTGTCGCATTTACTAATTTAAATTAATTGGAACTGATTCCAAATTAATTGTCAAATAATTATCCTGTCCAATAAAAGTAGTCTTGGTAGCCAAAAACTTGGCTGAGTTAAAAAGTAAATAATAAGATAGCACATTTGCTATCAGTCTTGAATTATATTTGGATAGGTAATACCTATCTTTTATCTTTTTATCCAAAACTTTTTTATTAAATTATTTATATCAACTAAATGAAATTTGTCATTATTATAATTACAATTATATGTCAAATTTAAATTATTGTTACATATTAAATTATTCATTTGTGTATTTAAATTATGTCTTAGATTATTTTCCTGTGGCAATCCCTGTATGTAAGGCAGTGTGAACAAAACAATTTTGTGTACATTTAAGTTATTAAGTTGCTCAATATATCTTAATAACTGTTTGTTGTTTACACTGCCTCTTCTACCAACAAAAATTATTGTTGTACTATTTGGGCAAAATTTAGTAACTATAATTTTATTTAGGATGTCACTAAAAGATGCTCCAGGCATGCAGCAATTTGTAATTTTTTGTCCCTTTAAAGAGTAATTTAAAGTTATGCCTAGATTTTTTCCTATGTTAACGCTCTACACAATTGTATTATTTTTGTTAATATTTAAGTTATTTTTTATTTTAAGCTCCTCTGCTATGGCACTGTCATAGAGTTTTGGTGGTGGTATAATATTATCAGCACACACCGACTCTGAAGAAGCTGGTATTGAATGCTGACACTCACATTGATGTTTAACTAAGGAGTCAAAAAGCTCCTCATTTTATTAACATGTCTTTACCAGATTATTCATAGCCAGTATGTGTTCTTTTATTTCGTTTTGGGCTGATTTATATTTATTGGATACAGTTTGAAGGGAATTTGTAAGAGATAATATTTCTGATTTAAGGCACTCTGCGTCAGTCTCATAACATTTTCTTATGTTATCCACCTCAATTGAATACAACTTAAGTTCATATATCAATGCTTGCTTTTGTTTACATAAATTAACATAATTTTTGGTATTAATCTTATTTTTTATTAATTTTTGTACTTTCCTTATGTATTTATTAACTTTATATACTTCTTCAATTTGGTTTTACTGCAATTAATCCTCACTGAGTTTCCTGAAGTGGAAGAGTCGTCACCAGTCAAATCTATTGTTGCAGATTGCTGTAAAATTCTTGAAGTATTACATTGCACAAGCTCAGAGAACAGGCTTTGAGTCTGGGAGGCGTTAAGATTATCGATATATGTTTTAAATTGTATTATTTGCTCATTAGCCTCATTCAACTGTAACTTCAATGCAGCATTGAACCTGAGAGCTTCCTCATATTCCTTGCTGCATCGGTCAAACTCATTAACCATTCCCTGTAGATGATCTCTTTCTTTTATAACACTTGTGTATTCTGTATCTAACTCAACCATATCACATTTCAATTATGAGTTTTTGGCAATTATACTAACTATTTCTTTTTCATTATCATCCCTTTCCTTAAGCAACAGTTCACACTGCTCCCTGGACGCCTTAAGTTCTTGGAGCGCAAGCTGGAGTTGGTTCTCCACCTGGCGCGTCTTGGCGTTGCGAGTATTCATTTTACTTTTTATTATAAATAATAAAAGAAAACAAAGATCGAAAACAGAAGGAGCAGAATAAGCTATTATCGAGTTGTTGCTGTTTTTTTTTTATTTACAAGTCTCGAATCAAATTATCGTTAAAACAATTCGAAAAGAAACCCGCAAAGAATGTATGTTAAAAGATCCTTTACTCTTTTCTTGCTGTAGACATCTAAAGACTCTGCTAGAAGCAACTAGCCAAAGATTAACAAAGGATGTTAAATACAGGGTTATTTTTAAAAAGTAGTCAAATTTTTAAGTTAAATTCAAATATATAAGTAATGATATACCGTTATTGCAGATTTTTTTAAAAAATAAGAGTAAATAAGGTTTCAACATTTATTTGAAAATATCCCAAATTGAATGTTATTTATAGGTAACAACTACGCGTACGCGCGCACCTCTGTGTGCGATTCAGTTCACAACGTTTTTGCCCACTAAGCGACCCTCACGAATGTGTGCGTGCGTAGTAAAATAGTAGGTGTTAGATATTTATGAATAACAACCAGTTCAAATAATGCATTACCACACATTTTGAATTTGAAAGATAAAAAGGACAGAATGTTTGAGATTATTTTAATTAATTTTTCTTCACCATTTGCCGTTATTACTTATTCTAAAACTTCTCTGCAAATTTGGCCGGTTATTGCAAAATAACCCTGTTATATTTCGACACTAAATTTTCCGTTTTCACACTCGACAGCGTTAGCGTTAGTAACAAAATTATTTCATTTATTCAAATAGCTTAATTATTAGGTATTGTAATGATTCCTTATGTTTACGTGAACATACACATATAAATGACTATAGTTTTGACGGATTTTATCGCCGGGAATATAAAATAAGTTAATATACGCAATAAAGTCCGTAAAAAGTAGTTCCATTTAAATGTGCAGTGTTCGCGTGAACATAAGATCTCGGGTAGTAGGTATCATTCATGAATAATGATCGAGACAACTTATAAAAACGGAATTATTTATATAATTGATAAGTTCATTTAATAAAATATTTTGTTTTTAATTAGAACGCGATATTTTAGATTAAAACAGTTCGAAATGCGAATATTTCTACGAAATAAAACGGGCACAGAAAATTCAAAGCTATATACGTATTTCCCGGCAACATGAATCCGTCTCAATATTACAGGATTGCCCGCCAGCCATAATAGTTCCCTTCATAATAGAACGCGTGCCGCAATCCCGGCTTGACTCCATTACAAGGATTCCTTTACAGACAGTACCTTCATTAAAATACGATCTTTTGTTCCAGGGAGAAAACTAATAAGTGGAGAATGGCGGGTTCTAGAGAGAGATTACTTTACGAAAGACATTCGGACTATGAACAGGAGTATGATCGAAGAACTAGATACGACACAGAGTATGTGACGGGGCGAACCAAACCTGCGTATTACGAGAATCGTTACACAGCGCAACGCTTCGAGCCGGACCGGTCCGAGCCGGAACGGGCCGCTAACAACCGGTATAAGGAACGATTCGACCGCTACGAGAGACCAAGACGCAAAAACGGTTACGTTTACGAGGATATTTACTCTGACTACGACGAGGCTCAGGGACGGCTATCGCTATTCAGGCCAATAAGGCCCGAATACTTGAACCTTTCCACTACATACGAATCTAAATATAGCACATTGCCTCGAAACTACACTTATTACGAAGACAGAACGCGTAGATATAAGAAAGATTACTACGATTTTAGAATCGATGAGAGACGCCGTTCAAGAGAATTATACGAGCCTTATAAAACTCATGAAGTCAGAAGGAAACCTACATACGACCGGAAACCAGATACCGTTTACGCAGGTAGACCAAAACCGGTGATACAACTAAATAGAACCGAACGAAAAACGCCTAAAAACGTAGCGGTGTGCAAACCGCTTCGCTTGTCGGAAAAAAACGCGCGTTACTGGACGACGGAGCCACCGAATAGTGCCCGTACAAAGCCAAAGAAAGATGAACCGAAGAAAAATGTGAAATTTTCCGAAGTGTCCGGTTGTAACCGGAAAATGGTTGTCGATGATCCGGTTTGCGGTCGCAAGTTAGTGGCAGTCAGGGAGTTGGAAGTGTCGCTCGACCAAATGATACAGAATGGTTATTTTGAGAAGCACAATATACCTATATTGAGGCCAGAGAAGACGAAGCCGGAGATACCGGCCCCGGAACCGAACGGGAAGTGCTTATCAGTTGGCGAAACGAAAACTTCGAGGAAATCCAGACATCTGCCGCAGGTAAGTTTGTATTTTAACTTTCAGTCATTGACGGCTCTGCGGCGCATGACTAAAGGCTTGAATCGAGTACGGAACAATTGTTTGTGGACCTAAAAATATTTGTTTTGGGTCTGGATGCCTTGTGCAATTTATGTATGTAAACTGCCTTCATGATACAGGAGAAAATCCTAGAGTGAGGGTAAAGAAAAAATAAATTTGTTAGGTCAAGGATAAATGATAAACGTAATGAAAGTAATTGATTTAATGTCTCAATTTTCAATCCCTGGAGACTTAATAACTTAGGGATATTTCATACTGTTTTAACTTGACACTTATTCTGTTAAAGGTCTAGAAAAGGTTTTCTACGTAGACTTATAAAGAAGACAGACGGAGGACTGTGGTACATTTCAAGTGTTGCCGAAACCATGTTCAACTTCATGACACACACGCACACATCGTTCTTATATCTATTCTTATCAGCCAGTAGTAGTTTACTGCAGGACACACACACATGCAACTATAACCGTGTTGTTGTTTGTTAAGAATTTTAGATTGATATGTGTACGTGAGATCGTGTTCATACAATAAGTTGAGCATGGTTTTCACTTGGGGTTTACATCGCTTGAGATGTACGCAACGCTCTGTCTTTCTTCTTTGTTGTCCTAAGTACGTGATAAAACCACACAACTGTCCAAGGGTGCAGCACTAATGGGTCGGCTCCACCGGAAAAGGACCATGCTGTCACAGTATACTAATTGAAAATATCAAGCACACTGCTCTCGTATTATATATTATGAATAACAAGAATGGAAGACTTTTTAATGATAACAAGTATTAAGGACACACACCTGCATTTTAATTTTTGGTAAAGGAAAATGTACACGTCTATGAAACGCATCATCCACTTTTCGACAGGTAGACTGTGTGCTCACTTGTCATTGTCACCGTTACTTTTATAAAAAAATTAATTCGTGGTGTATACTCAAATCCTTTCACAAGAATGGATGTTTTTCGCAGGCTTAGTAATTTGTCTGCCATAGTATTAATCCAAGGTTTTAATAATGATATTACATTTTAATACACATTTATATATATACCATCCACACCACCTGGATGATCGGTCCACCACTGTGCGATTTAGAAGATGTTTTCTTCCTCGCACAACTTCCTTGTGGAATTGTTTACCACCAGCGATTTTTCCGGACCGATACGACTTAGGGACCTTCAAGAAAAGAGCCTACTCCTTTTTAAAAGGCCGGCAACGCATCTGCAATTCCCCTGGTTACCATGGTGTTGCGGTTGTTCATGGGAGGCGGTAGTCACTTACCATCAGGTGAGCCGCATGCTCGTTTGCCCCCTCTCCTATAAAAAAGTATATAAATAAAACTAAGGTGAAACTGAGGTATAAATCTGTCTGCAATATGTAATTGCAGTATTTAAACCGTATTTTATTGAGCTGAGCTAATTGCATGATAATAAGACGTGAATAACCATTTTCAAAATGTTTATCTATATGTCTGTCTGTGCTAACCTTCGGAGTGGTTGAACTGATTGTAATGAAACTTGATGAACAGATAGAGAACAATGCCAGGAGTAATCTAGATTTGATTTTATCTAAAAACCTTGGAGTATTTTTTGAGAAATCAATAAATTGATATAATAAATGGATTTTAGCAATTGATAGTTATCTTAAATCTAAATGACATCACATTACTAGATCTAAGCGAAGCCGAGGCTGGTTAGCAATTTTTAAAATAATTATACTTAAAGAAAAAGTAAAACGTACTTCGGAAGCAAAAAAATCTCAAAAACTATGTCTTAGCTCATGTAACTTACCTCAAAGGAATATAACAAGTTCAAGGAAAAGACTAGAATTTCGTTTGAATAGTTACAATAAAAATTGCAAACCCTATTTCTTCACTCTTACAGTGATTTTTTTCCACCCGGACCACCCGTTCACCGCTTTAGAGATATCAGTGAGCATCAACGTACTCGATTAGTGAAAATGCGTATAAAAATATACGGATCAATTATAGAACCTTTTGCCAACTCGACTGCCAAACGTGGCCGCTATGGCAAAGTAGAGGCAATCTGTGGGAGAAGCCTATGTTCGGCAGTGGACTATTATATGCTGTAATGGATGAATGCATGATAAAATTCCGCCAAATTTAAAACTAAAAAATAAAACAAAGATTGTGTAAAAGTGCCAATTTTATTTTGTTGCTGACCAGGCAGACGTTGTTCTGCCCTTTCCGACGACCATGTGTCCTAAAGAAATCATTAAATTCACAATAAAAAATTAAGGGTCACTTATCGGGATAAAAACTATCCTATCTCTCAAGGTGGACCAAACTGCACACATTGTGAAACATTTCATTGAAATCAGTTCAGTAGTTTAGGAGTTCATCGCGGACAAACGACGACGACACGTAATTTTTATATATAAAGATGTAATTTATGGATAGTGTGAACGCTACGAAGATATTTTTAATTTATTTTGTGTTGTTAATTGAGTAACATAATATGATATGATTGTAAACTGTTTTTTTTTTATTTTTTTTTATATATTTTTATATATTACCGCTGGGTTTCTTGCTGGTTCTTTCTTCCTTTTCCGATCTACTTCAAATCTACATCTATCTTCGTTTGCGAATTAAAATGCAGATGCGTTTTCTGTCGTGAGGGCTAAGATAGAATACCTCTAAATTATATATATTATTCCAGTAAAAAGGGTCTCCGGTTCTCTACACTCACTATATAAAACACAGCAGCATTAAGCTGCTATTGCACGCTGGTATTCTGTGAGAGCGTGGTCCTTCCCCGGTCGAGCCGACCCATTCGTGCTACAACTGTACTATTAATATAACTGCAGCAAGGCTTTATGTAAAGTAAATAATTAAATAGAAATATTTCAGAAAACCTTCTCGTATTTGGAATTCGGTTAAAAACAAACTTAATTCTATGCTATAGTTCCAAATAGAGCAATTGCTATCGTTTACTTCCGTCCGCGATGTCAAAATTGGGCTCCATTTGTAAACCCTATCTAAAATCAGCACTTTTAGCATGATGCAGCAATTTTCTGTAAATGGAGACCCGATTTGGTGTCATATTCTTTTTTAACTTCATCAGTATTCAAATCTATAGAAATAAATTTTATTTAAAAACTCTTTTTTCTTTTATTAAAAAACTTTGTTTTTAATTTTATTATTATTTTTTTTATTTTTTGTGTTTTTATTACCTCTTACTGACACTAGCCGATGCCAAAGCAAAATAAAGCGGGGTGTTCGACAATCCTCTTAGTCCCCGGACTGTGCGTTTCATAGACGTCTACATTTTCCTTTACCAAAAAACCGCATACAATATGCATACAATAATTTTTTTAATAAAATAAAAATATTCTTGATCGACTTTATTTAAAAAAAGTTATTTCTATAGGTTTGAATACTGATCCTGATAACGTACTTTACGAGAACCACAGATTTTTTTGTTACATATTGTATTATAGAAAATGATGAATATACATTAAATATAGTAAAATAGACAAATAATAGATATATAAATATAAATAAAAACATGCCTAAACGTTATCGAATATCCACTACCCCATGTCATCCCGTGGGTGTCGTAAGACATGACAGAGGGAAACAAATCAGGAGATGGGCAGCAGCGTCTGCCTAGTAATAATTAAAAGTAAAAAAAAAAACTGCGTTTGCCAGACCCATTGAGGTAATATATGAGGGAGGCCCATATTCAATATTGGACTTTAATAATAAATAGAACTCCAACCACATGGGAGTCCTTGGTAAGGGAGAACAAACGGCCAATAGTTAGAAGGCTTTCCGCAGCATTCATACGCTCACCTAAATGACAAAGTATCGTACTCCACTGCCCTGTACACTGCCCGAGGAAGTCTCTAACTGTATAGTCAACCTTGTACAGCTCAAGGGTCTTCTTTAGCCACGTATGGGGCACCAAGTCGAATGTCTTTCTATAGTCTATCCAGGCGGCGGAGAAATTTCGACGGTTGCGTTAAACCACTTTGCTAACGGCCGCGTCAATGAGGAGTGGTTATTTGGTTCCACGAACATCGCCCCGACATCCAAGTTTAGCGCGCGACATCACCTGATTTAAGTCCAGATGACAAATGATTCTCGTGCTCAAAATGGATGTCAGTGTCTTATATATGGTGAGTCGACACGTGATAGGGCGGTATTTTCTCGAGTCTGTGGTATCCTGATCTTAATAAATTAAGTGAGTGATCCCAGTAGTTAAAAGGCTCGCGACTATTGGCCGAGAGCCTCTTGAAACTGTCGGGCGAGCACAACGCGGCTCACCACGAACCCCTTCAGCCAGTTTTGATGCAGCCCATCGAGTCCCGGACATTGTCAGTTCGGTGCCCTACAGACGATTTCAGTGGCGTTGCCCGGTTTTATGGTGACGGGGTCCATGGGCGTAACACTCGCTCACTGACTCGCCACAACTTCCGTCCATTGGCCCTCGCTGTGGTTTATGGTCGCTGACCACAGACTACGCCAGAATGCGACAGTATCGTCCTGATTCGGTACTGGGCCCCTTCCATATACTACTCTTTGGAATGATCGCTCTGGAATAGACGATTCTGGCTTTATCCCAAGCATCGATTCTCTGCAATACGTCGTCTATGCGCTCCGTCAGTTTTTGCGTTTCCGGATGGGACAAACTGACATTTGTCCCAGCAAACGCCATCCGTGCACACGATTCTTCGCCTGTTATTGCCCGACCTGAAGCTTATCAGTCTGCCGATGAGGGCTTTTGCCTTTGCGATATGGTCCTCAATTTTTTTCCTCCAGGCTGGGATGGCGCTACTTTGTAAGCTTGGCACCAATAATACGGCAAACTGTCGGTACGGCACAATCCCTGACGGGGTAGCCAGAGAGAACAGATCGCCAAGTGTCACGATCCTTACAAACCTCTTTCGCTTCTTTCAGATTCATTATCTTCTTCATGCATGCACGTCTAGGTATCCGAGTACTCTTGACCCT